GCGAGTGACTGTTCACAATTTATTTGCATTAGTTGGCAACAAACTGTGGGCTATGTTAAATATGGCTGCTGCCAGGGTAGCCCATCACAATGTCTACTGCGACTGTGAAAGGCTTAAATACGTAGATAAATACAAAAAAAAAATCAAAAACAAAAACAAACTAAGACAAAATAAAAGCAGCTTGGAGGCGCCTAAACAAACAGAAGCCGCTGCCAACAAAGTCGCCTTGAGCCTCGCTCGTTGAGACATTTCAATATTTACCTGAGAGCAGCACTCTCGCATTTACATTTTTAAGCTGTTGATATCAGTGCGCCAAATGCCTCTAAGAAGCTTTATTTACTGCCAGTTAAAACAGAAGCGATCAGCTGCTCACTGCACAGCCAACTGGGAGGTCTTGCAGCTGCAACTAAATACCTTGAAGGGTGAATATTTATGTACCTTTGCTAGCGTTCATACGAGATAATTGACATGATGTTAAATATTTGATGAAATATAAAATTGCGAACTTCGCCTTAACAGAACTGAGAACAAAAAAAAAATCAATTAAAAATGTGAAGAGTTATTGTTAACTTTGACCGGGCTATACCTTAAGTGGCAGATATAAAAAACTCTTTCGGTTTATTTCTTATACAATAATAATTAAAAGCTAGTTAAAGGAATTTGTGTGTCATTATCAAATTGACCTTCGAAACTAAATTAAAACACAAGAACTTGGTGAATTTTGGGTAATGAATTCTGTTCGGGCAACAGCTTAGATTGTGAATTCCTGTCAAAGACTTGAAATGCGTGCACATGGTATCGATATATTCTGCAGTGCGAACCAGCTTATGATGCATGACATACTTAGGAGACCAGCAGATACAAAGTAAATGCTGCAGTTAATGGCGGTAATCACAAAAATAATTAGCCAAATTTTCAGCGTGTCTCAATAGCTATTAACAGCAGAACATTCAAATGGAGTTGACTGTCAGCACGTTTTTTTCTTAGTATAGTATACTGCGAGTACAACAAAGATATACGAGCAGCAGTATGGAGTCCAGTTAGATATCCACCCACAGATTCTGTCACTCATGATGTCGGGCCTGTCGCCTTAATGAGCGTTTAAATGCCAAATTAATGCCAACAGAGCCAGCCAACGGAGGCCCTTGGCCGGGGACCGTGACTCAAATGCTGTTTATACTTTGGGGTCGACTGTATCTGTTGTAAGTTTCTGATTCGGGTTTTGGTTTCGCTCTGGTTCCATGTGGGCGACAAAATCTGCTCTTTTTGGCGGGCTGCTTTTTACCTTGTTGACTTTTTGGCTGCTGAACTGGCAAAGAGTTTCGTTTTCTTTGGCCGATCTTGGTTCTTTCGTGTCAAGTGGCCATAGTTTCTTGCCATAATTTTGTTTTCATTAACAATAAATTTCAATTAAGCGCACGATTTGGATATTAATAAAGTTTTCAGCGGCACGAAAGGCAAATAACCAAAAGCAATAGCACACCAAGGGGTGTGCATATATATATATGTATATATATATGTGTGTGTGTGTGAAGTATGTAAACCTTTTTTTGGAGCTTATCCAAAGTGCTTGCCAGTTGTTGCTGTAACTGCGCGTTATTATATAGCCTCTGTCTCTGTATGCGCTTGTGTCTCTGCCTGTGTGTGATTGAATTTCAGTTGCGCTTGGCCCAAAGCTGCGCTTTTGCTGTTGAAGTTTATTAGCCAACAGCGCGAATTTTCATGCAGCTGACTGCCGAGTGGGTGTTCGAGTTGCGCGTTCTGTTGAGTTGTTACCAAACTGGCGAACAACAAGTAACAGACAACCCGACAACCCGACAACCCGACAACCCTATGCCACAAAAAATTTGTTATTTTCGGCTTAGTTAGGCGCGTTGACAAATGCTTGCCACAAGGTAACATGCAAAACGGTTTTTCAAGAGCTGCCAAAAACAAAATAAAAGAAACAAATCACATTAAAAAAATACGAGTAAGAACATTGGCGTGAAACAAACTCGAGGCAATTGAACGTTCACAGTGCAGTTGTAGCTGTGTAGGCGCGAGTGGGGGAGTAGGTGTGGCGTATATATTCGAATACTTCGGGGTTCTGTTTTAAATAAGCAGTACACTAGATATTTGAAGGAACGTTGCACAAGCCCTAATATGTTCTTCGCTCCGCACTCCACAGAGTATAACAACTACATTTGGGTAAATTGAGAGCGGGGAGATTTGGAGGAGGAGTGGGCCAGATGCCAATCCAAGACGGAGTTTAAATGCAATTAAGTTTACAGGAAATGAGCACTTGAGAACAGTTCTTAAACGCTCGAGACGTCAATACAAAATGGCTTGTTTGTGCACGAGTCTACAATAAAGCATTTATTTGACGACAAATTTGTTGTAAATGCCCAAAAAAATAAAAAACAAAATACTTCAACTGTAAGTGATATCGATTGAAATTGGCGTCAACAAATTGCTGCAAGTCGAATCGCAGCAGAAAAAATATGCCACGAAAAATGCTAGCTTAAAAGCCAGCAATCAAAAGGCGATTAAAGACAATAATAATAATAATAATAATAATAATAATAATAATAATAATAATAACAAGCACAATGACAACTAGTTAAATTCAGGCAGCAGCTCGAACGGAACTGTTCTCATGTTGTGCTAATTATGATGAAAAGCCCCATTAAAAAGTCGTCTATCAGGTGATTGGGTGTTTATCAAATGCACACCTAGTTCATTAACAATATGGCTAATTAGAATGTATTGGACATATTTATAAAGGTGCTTTGCTCTGGCCCGCGCCGGTCTCAAGAGCCACTGTGCACGTGTCTTATGGGTTATATCCACACGTTGGTATATTAAGTATACGCAGCATTGACCTCTGCTCGAGTTTTGGGTACGGTCCGATTTAAATTGGTATTGGAACGAGTTTGATGTTTTCCCACGACAAAATGGGCGGCAATGTGAGTAATTGAATTTCTGTACAATGCAAGCGTAGCAAGACTTTTAATTAGTTTCCAACTGGCGGTTGGTTAATTAAAATCACAAAGCCACAAAACTGATCGCATGCGCACACCCAACTACAGCGCTGACAGGAAAGCCAAGCTTATCGCGATCTATAAATACTCGCATAGTACGCAACTAGTGTGTGCTTGATAGCCCCCTTCCAAGCCCCACTCCTGACCAATGGGCCACACAGTTTTGTAAATGTGTGCACAAGTCTGAGTTTGAGTCTGGGTTTGGGTCTGGGCCTGGGCCTGACACTCTAGCAGTCTGTACATAAATGTATATAAATATATATATGTGTGTGTGCATAGAAAAAGGTGAGGCCGTAAATTAAGTGCCAGCCTCCAAATGTCAAAACATATACCAAAGTCGGACACCAAGTCGGGAATTCTGCGACTGTCGATAGATAAAAAAATAACCCACAAAAAATAAATAAATATATAAAAAGCAGGCCCACATGTAATAAGAACCGCTAGCGGACAATGACCATGACTGAGACAGCAGCAAAAGCAGTAGCAGTCACAGTTCCAGTTACAGTTCCAGTTACAGTTGCTGTTACTTTTGGCCAAGCAGTTGTAAGCCATTAAATCGTACGCCTGATCGACCAACGAATCTTGCAGTTGTCCACAGTGGTGCCAGAGAAATTCAAATGCAAATTCTTTGCCTAAAGAAGAAACTTAATCAAAAAAAAATTAATGGAAATATCACACAATAAATTTACCTTAGCTATAGGAAGAAGTAGCTGAGTTAAGGCAAGACTTGTATAAATAAATTCGAATCCTGATAAAAAAAAACATTTTTTTATTGATTTACTAATTTATAAATGAGTGTCATCTTAGTATTTAATACGTTAGAATAGCATAGAAAATCCAGGCCGTTATCAACATATAAGCAGCTGCCTATTTAAGCTCCACAACGACTCTAACGTCCTGGCAATGAATCTGTTAAGGAGGCGAAGAAGAAGGTTTTAAAAGGGCCTACCCAACAGATCTAATAGTTCGATGCCTTTAGGGTCAGCATGCAGGTCCTCAGCCAAGCAAAATATAACGTGCTCCAGACTAAACGGAATGAACACATATATCATCTACTAACTGAAAATATCAACACTCAGCTACTTAAAACCAAAACTATGAACTATGATAAAAGTTGCTAGACAACAGTATCAGCATATCATATGGTAATAAAAATAAAAACATTGAAAACAAAACATGTTAAAATTAAGAACTAAAAGCCCAATCGGATTACAAATATTTCTAATATAATCAGCGACACGATGAAGGTATTTTATTCTCCTTTCCGGCCAGCTATGTATGTCCTATGCCATAAGGACTTGAGTCGGTTACCACTTTAGTTTTGTTTCAGTTGTGCATTTGTACCTAATGAATTTTTAATAAATTTTATATTATTAAATTGATTAAAATCAACCGATTAGCAATGTCATCAATTTTATCATTTTATTAGATGTTAATTTTTTATAATTTCAAATAGATCAAGTAGATAATTGCCTTCGACTCTTAAATTTGCCATATTTATAGGATATTTATGGAATATAATATACATAATATCATATTATATCCAATTATATATTGGATATTGTTTTAGAAAACATATTCATAATTCGACTTCATATTTGTCGGACCAAGCCAAACGTAATTAGTCGAAGAGCATTTGCAAAATTGTATTCGGCCAACAGCGATATTGGCCCACTGTGCAAAACAGGTGCCTGGTTGTCTTGCTGGTAGGTGTGGACTTGGACCCGCACCCCGGGCGTATAATTAAATCATTTGCCATAAAGTTTTACTTAGCCAAGTTTTCTAGGCTTGTGTCAACTGCTGCTCTAATGAAGACCGACAAATTAACATTTTATTTATAAGGCCAATTAGGCGACACACTCGAAAACTAATTTAAAGCGTCCACACCCCCATATTATGTTTGTCGTGGATGCAAGAAAATGTGACCGTCTATGTTCCCAGCTGCTTGCGGCCAGTTCCAACGCTTCAGTTGGCATCGGGATGTCCAAGCTGCTGGAGGCCTGTTTAACTGATTTGTGGACGCAACGTTTCACCTTTGCCCGCATGGGCCTGGATCTGCAACCAGATCGCCAAGTGCTACGCTCGTCGCTCACCTATTACGTCATGGTGTTTGCCACCAGCTTCGAGCTGTGCACCGTTTGCGCCTTCATTGTGCTGCATCGCAGCGATATTGTGCTCTGCTCGGAGGCACTGATGCACGGTGTCCAGATGATCTCCTCGCTGCTGAAGATGACCATCTTTGTGATCAAGTGCCCAGAGCTGGTGTCTCTCATTGCCGCCCTGCATGCGTCCTTTCGCCGCTCCACTGCCAACGCAGCTGAGCTACGCATTTGGCAATTGCAGAATCGTCGCGGCCAGCTCTTCTCGGCCATATATTTCCTACTGTGTGCCGGCACCAGCATCTCCTTTCTGCTGATGCCGCTTTCGTCAACCGCTCTGCATTACTATCGAACTGGCCAGTTTGTGCCCGTAAGCTCGTTTCGTGTCGCGTAAGTGACCATCGCAGAAATAAATATATTAGTCAGGGGGAAGCGTTAGGGCGGTTTACTTTAGAACTCTTAATGTTAAATGATCTAACACTTCCACTATACCGATCTTTGCTAAGTTATGAAGATGCTTATTCATGAGTGTGCTTAATAGTGAAGCTTGCTTTAGCAGCTCTATATAGTGCTCTCATCCTCTCAAATAGGAAAGTAAAATAATAATTATTTCATAAAGAATCAGAGCTAAGAAAAAAAAAGTCGGGCGCTGGGACCCGGCCTTATTCACATTGGCTATTGTTGTTGAACTAGAAATGCTTTATTGATGCTTTATTAAAGTCAAATGTAGGATGGAAAAGATTTTAGAAGCTTCACACACTAAATAACTTAGTTAATATTTTATCTTAAAATTGTCAAATTTTGACTTATTTTTGACCTATAGTAAGTATTACAAATAGTTTAATACTTTCTAGAAATGAGGAATTGCGCAGCCTAAAATGTAGTCCAAATATGGACTCGTATATATTCTAATTATTCCACAAAATATTTTCTCTTGTTTCTTTTTTTTTTTTTTTTTTTTTTTATTAGCTAGCTAAAAGTTAAGCAAAGATCAGCTAAATGCTCATTCTTATTTATTTACCAATATTGAATTTCCATTTCTGCCCACAAATTGGGAAACTTAAAGCTTAAAGTATAATCCATATGTGGACTTTATTTTTCCCAAAATATATATGAGAATATACATTACCCATTATTATAGCACAGTCTTGGTCAAAAAGTTATCTACAAGTTGCCAAATTCCTGTTCTCATTCTTGAATATTAAATATCCCTTTTTGCGGTTTTGTGTATACCCCAAAATATACTATATTTCTGCCTAGAGTTTAGGAAATATTAAGCTGAAAAGTTAGTTAGTTAGCTAGTTAATTTTTTCAATTATTTATAAATTATTCTTGAATTATATATGGTGTGATAAAGTTCAAGCTGTGCATCGACTTTGAGCTCGCAGCTATCGAATTTGTCTAGTTACCGCAGACAGTCGCCCTTGGCCACCTGCCGATCACCTCGAACTATCTCAATCTTTCCTAGGTTGCCCTATGACGTCACGCAGCCGGCCATCTATTTGCTCGACTGCTGTTTGATGGTGCTTGTGTTGACCTTCTTCTGCTGCTCCACCACCGGTGTGGACACCCTCTACGGCTGGTTCGTCTTTGGCCTGACGGCGAACTATCGTCGCATCGTGCTGCAGCTGCAGGTCGATCTGCTGCAGTCTCCAGCTAGTCGGGAGCTGGAGCGTTGCCTGGCTGAGCTTTTTAGACAACATGCCCAGCTGTTGGAGCTAGTGGCTCGTTTCGAGGTAGTCTTTCGGGACATTGCCTGCGTGGAGGTGCTCTTAATCTGCGTGCTCTACTGCTCCGTGATCTGTCAGTACATCATGCCACACACCAACCAGAACTTTGCCTTTCTCGGCTTCTTCTCGCTGGTGGTCAGCACACAGTTATGCATTTATGGCTTCGGCGCCGAGCAGGTGCGTCATGAGGGTGAGCAGTTTGCTCAGCGACTCTATCAGCTTGTGCCCTGGCATCAATTGACGCCACGTCAGCGCCGTCTGCTGCTGCTACCGCTGCAGCGTGCCCAGAAGGAGACCCAACTGGGCGCTTACTTTTTTGTGCTTGGTCGGCCTTTATTGGTGTGGGTGAGTCAGTGCCTTGCCAGCAATAGCTGAGCTATTATTAAATCTGCTTTGTATTTGTAGATTTTTCGCACAGCAGGTTCTTTTACCACGTTGCTAAATACGCTGCGCGCACAAAATTAGACTTTGTTGGGAAAATCTCTAACATTGTTTTTATTGTTCTCCAACTAAGTACTGAAAAATATATTTAAAATGGAGTGGAAAAGGAAATCTTTTAGAAAAGGTTTCTGCAATCGTTGTAACATGATTTTCCTTAGCATTTATGAGAAATAATTTAATTAAATAATATTCTTCTTTTATTATGTCAATAAGAACTGATGCGCGTCAATATTGTTTGATTATAATCTGCAGTTTCCTATAATTTATATGCCTGTTTATTTAATTTTAAAAATAAATTAAATAGTCTGGCATTTCAAACTATTTTATCCTGCCTATACAAATTGTTCTGCGCTCGAGAAATTACATTTGTTGAGCAGATTTTTGTCCAGATTTTGTTTAAGTTTTTTTTAAACAATCGTTAAGTATATCGCATTTTTATTTGGGTAAACTATCCCACGAACTTAATACTCCCAAATATTTTAATATTTCTCCTATGTCAAGTAATTTAAATTTAACCCGAATGAATCACTTATTATTGTTGTACGCAATTCGATATTTTGTTTATAATTTTTATTATTAAAATTACAATTAAGAGCTGGTTTCTCATTTTATGTACACACACAATACAAATACAAATACAATTATGTTTAAACAAAAAATAATTAAGTAATCGATACGCATCATAAAATACGATTAAACACATAAAAATACAAATACGAATACAAATACAAATACGAATAGACTACGTGCTATAATTAAGTACAATTAACAATTATGCAACACAAATTGTGAGACAAGTAAACTGATACAAAAAAATTACAATAATAATAGCTATAATAATTTTTAAAATAATAATAATAATAATAATAAGTACACACAACTAACGGAACTATTGCAAACCATAAGTGGAGTGAATGGGTGGAGAGGGAGGGGCTTGCAGCAGGCGTGCGCGCGGGGCAAGTGTGCAAATATGTGAAAGAGTCCGGCGAATAAGTATCTTAAGTTGGAATTTTATCTTTGCTCAAAATAAATATATAAAAAAACCACAAGATTTCGCAGCTAAAACTCGCTCCCAGCTGGATGTGGGCCCAACCTGGCGCTTAGCTCAGGGCCAGCAGCGGCTCCAGCTCCAGATCCTTGCTAATTGTCTTTTTCTTGTACTTCTTTTGGAGCTTCGTTTTGGATAGCTTGGATTTGGATTTGCTGGGCTGTTGCTTCTTAAGCGACGCCTCCTCGAGCGCCTTCTCGCGATCTAGCAGCTCCAGCTGCTCAAATATGTTCTTCGGATGTGGATGGGTGCTCGGCTTGGTCGCGTTCTTAGCCGCATAGACGACCACAAACTGCGAGAAGGCCGAATCTGCGGGCGTATTAATGTCAGCAAAGTCACGGAAGTTGGCGAACTGCTCCTCGGGATACGTATATTTCTGGATGAACGCCTCGCTGGGACGACCATGGCCATTGTTGGCATCCCCATAGATGTAGTCGCTGTTGTCCTCTGGATGGTAAGGCATCTCCTCCTCCGGATAGAAGGTGCCGCCACGGAGCACACCAAAATCACCGCTGCCCAAAATGGCTGCATCAAAGCCGCGCTGCTGCTGCTGCTGGGCCGGCGCCAAGAGCGGCAGCTGCAGCGGCGAGTTGTCGCCAACGGGACCAGCGGGACCGGCGAAATATGGACGCGAGTGGCCCAATGGCGGCGCCTCGTGGTAGAAAGGCGGATAAAAGTTCTGCGCAGCCTGGCTGTGCGAGTCCGCACCTGGACCGGGCGTTACATCGGCCCGCGAGATCAGCTGTGTGTTCGGATTGGCAATGGGACGGAACTGTTCCTCCTGCACTGGCACCGCGGGCGACACTGGCTGTAAAGCTGCTTGAAAGTGGCGACTCTGTGCGGGCGTGGCAGCAGCTGCCCGATGATGATGCTGCTGCTGCTGCTGATGCAGCTGTGTTGTGGGCGGCATATGGAAGTGCTGCTGCTCATGGGATCGCAGCACAGTTATGGGCGTAAAGTCATTCGGTTCCATCAGCATGTCGCTGTCTTCCTCTGGAAACTCAGCTGCAAGAGAAGAAAGAGAGAGAGAGAGAGAAAGAGAGGGAGAGATCAGTGGGATGAATAGACGGCAAAAACGAAATGCATCTTCCGGCAGGCGAACAAATGTCTGCTTGACGGCTCTTCTTCGATGGGCCCCTCAAGCTAGCGGGCTTCCACTCGAAGATCGACTTCAGCATCGAGTGGCTCGTCGTCTTAGCAAGCAGCACTTCTTTGTTTGCCCCGTCATTGTGAAGTGGCAAAATGTGTGGGTTGATGACGACAGCAAAATATGTTGAGAAGCAAGCGAAAGCTGCAACATTTTCGGAGGCTCTTCAGCCATTTCTGACACTTAAAAAGAGCCCCCCTCCCCACCAAAAAAATCCCGGAAATTAAAGTGCGTTCAAATCGGCAGTTCGCTTGCAGGTCCAAGATAATTACACAATATTGTTGAGGCTCAAAAACGTATACTTCGAAACGCAGCTTGCTTTTCGCACGAATATTGCATACTAAAATATTGCACTAGCCGAAATTCTAACTTACAAGCTGCCGAAAAGTAAGGACTAGAAATTAATTGAAGGAATCAATCTCTATTATAACTATTAGTTACTATATATAAGCTGCCTATAGGGTATCTATTGGTTGGTGCTGCCCCACATATTGCATGCTTGCTTGCAACATACCAAAATGTTGCATGCAGCACATCAAATGCAAAATTCTTAAAGCAGCAAATATTTTTGTCATATCACAGCTGGCACATCGAAGCACCGCTCGTGCCACCACTCGCAGCGCGGCTCAATTACAGTGCTTCAGTGGCTGGACTCAAATTTGTAGCTATTGTTGTTGTTGTTGTCGGTTGTTGTTATTGTTATTGTTGGCTGCCGTTGACCAGTCAAATGTCGTCTCGATAAAAGTCGATAATAATATAAGCAGCTGGCAGCTGGCATAAATTTTGTTCTAGCCATGTTGCCTGTCAGATAGCCGAGCAAAACCGACCAATCCAGCGAGCCTCCGACCCTCCCACTGTCCATGGCAGCATGCATGGCTGTAAGCCGCTCCCCCCGGGGCCCACCAACTACCACCTACCCAGCACGAGCCGCCTTTCATATAGGCAGTTGTTGTTGTTGTTGTTCTTGTTGGCTGCTTGTCTGTGGCTTTATTTCAACATGAATTCGGATTTTCACTGCATGCAATGCTAACGGTATTTTTCTGGCCTTTTTCTATATATATATTTTTTTTTGTTTAAAGCATTTTGATACCTTGTTAAAAACGGTATAAGAGGGTATTTTGGTTTGATATTCCCTTTAAAAAATATAAATAAATCTACCCTGTAATTTATTAGATCCAAGTCGATCTAGCCAAGTCCATCTGTCTGTATGTGTGCCTGTCTATCCATCTGTATGTATCAATCCATTAAAGCATAAACTTTGAATCTGTATTGTATTGTTTTTATAGTAGCTTATGTGAGCTAGCCGAGTGTGTTTAGGTGCTTTATGGATATGTATATTGTTCTCGAATGCTTGCACAGGGTATCTTTCAGTCGTTTAGTTAGGGTTTTTCATCATATGTCGCAGCTGATAAGAGCTAGCTAGAGTGTCTTTAGCTGCTTTAGAGCTATATAGTGTGTGTTTGAATGCTTGTACAGGGTATCTCTCATTTGTTCAGTTAGATTTTTTTGATTTATAAGAGTTTATAAAAGTTAGCCAAATGTGATAAGCTGTCTTAGAGCTATATATTTGATTTATGATTATAGGGTATATCTTAGTCGAGCACTCTCGAAAAGAGCACTCTGTTATTTACAATGCCTTGCATATTGACACCCGCTGGTGGCTTTTTCGGGTTTGGTTTTTTTTTTGGTTTTGGCTGGCAAAACGGAACATAATGAGTTTGTTAAGTGTAATTGGCCATTGGCTGGGTATGTTTCGGGTTCGGGCTTGGGTTGCGAAGTTTGGTACACTTGTGTGGCGGCTGTGGGGGCTGCCCGGCTGCTTGATGATTTTCGATAGCGCTGCCAGAAAATGGGTCAAACACATTTCGGCTTTTGGCAGCGATATGTCGTGTATTAAGTATAAATTACTTTATTATTTATTTGACCAGTTCGTTGAAGTTTCATTGGTGTCCAGCTTAAAGCTGGCACTGCACGTTTTTTCATTTATTCTCATACCCTGTATCCACTTAAAGCGGGTGGTTTTTTCAGCCCCATCAAATATTTGCATGCTATTGTAACTAATCTGAACTGTGTATTGTTTATTTATGCGGGTCGCATTTTAAGTGTTGCTTTCAGATCCGAATGTTTGCTCAAAAGAGAATATTATATAGAGTCAGCCGGGGTAAATGCGAATCGCGCTTGTATCCAAGCTCGACTATGGACTGTTTCTCTAATTTGCCAAATTGCCAGCATGTCCACTGGCCAAAGACAAGGCACTCACAATACGAAAACACAGTCAGGTAGGCTCATTATCAATCGAATCGGTAAACAAGAGCAACAGCAACACCCCGTTTCGAGGGAAAGGTGAACAGCAACTGGCTAGGACTTGATTGGCCTATGGCCCATTTTCAAAAATACTAAAACAATCCAAAAACCATGTAATAACTAACCACGCGAGAGAGCTTTGGGCTTTTTATAGCAAACTTATTTGCTGTCCGCCTGCACTTAAATGTTATGTTATGTAATCCCCAAACTTCAAGTTCCATTTTCATTCTAAGATAGGTGAATATAAGTTAGCTTTCGCATTGAATGATTTGAGGATTGAAGAAATAGTTGAAATATATTTAAATATTATATAGACTTTCTCTGATGATATGTTAATTAAATTCCTTCGCAATACCATCTAAATTTTGTTATCATATTACTTGAATCAGCTTCCAATCTTATGTATTAGTTTATTTGTTTTATAATAAAACGGTATAAACACATAATCTTTTGATTATAATTAGCATTTTAGGGTATTTAGTTCGGAGTCATCTCTATCTCGAATCTTCTTCTATTGTAAGCCAT